GTTGTTTAAATGCCTTACCTGATAAGTTTCCAATGCCAGAGCTAGCTAAAGATGTCCTCTCAAAAGTTTAAAAATAACTTTGAGCCGGAAGTCGGAGTCAATATGGCGGCCATTGAAGACATATCTGAGGATTTTTTCTTTGAATTTGTTAGTATGGTACTTGGAGCCAAAGTCTGGAGAGTTTGGAAGCTTTTGAGCTGGTAGTTTGAGCTGAGCAGATTTTGGGAGTCAAGTACTGAGAAATCTGCTAAAAAACAGTGCAAAAACACTTAATCCGATCTGGAGGCCAAACGAAGCAATTTCGCTACATTGGATGTGTAGAGATTTTGTTTGGCATCTGATTCCGGATCTGTTCAGGAATTTTGGAAGTCTTTGGAGCTTTCGTGGCGGAGTTATGAGCTGTTGAAATTGCGATTTTTAAAGTTGTTTTGAGTTATCTGCCCTTAGTCTTTGAGTCTAGAGTCTTGAGATTTTTGTGGTATCTGCTTCAGGATCTAAGGTATCTTTGTGGAAATTTTGAAGACATTCTGAGCAGTAGTTTTGGAGTTAGGATTGGAACAAAAAACGCCGGAATAATAATAATAATAAAGAATAATAATAATAATAAATCGAACAATTACAATAGGGCTCTTGCCTTGTAGGCAGGGAGCCCTAATAAGAAATCGTTATTTTTGCGATTTTGGCACTTTTGACCCCGGGATCGGGTAGCTGGACTAAAACCATTTAAAAAAATTCAAGGTCACCAAGGTCACGGGGTCAAGGTCATTTAGGTGGTCCGTAAAACGAAAATGTACTTTTTTTGGCGAGCTCTCACGCGGCCGTTATTGCATGTATGGTGGAAGTGATTAGTAATTATGCATTACCCCGACCAGTTCTAGCATATGTATAGGTGAATTTTGATGATATGCATGTCCGCCGTCTGTCCGCGCGTCTGTCCACCAAAACTCTGTTTTGTCATTTTCTCACGAACTATCTAACTTACAAAGCTGAAACTTTGCAGACATCTTCCTATGGTCTGTATATAATAGTTCTGTGAATATCAATGCATTCCGTTGTCAAATTTGGTTTCCATGGCAACCTGACGACAAAAAACTTAAATCCAAGATGGCGGCCAAACGGCTGGAAATATCCATTTTTAGGCCTGGATCGAAAATGATCGCTATCTTATGACGGTGTCACATGCAAAATATGGAGGTTATTGGAGCAATTTTGGCGGAGATATATGCTGTTTTGTGCCGTTTTTATCACTTTTGGCATTTTCACGGTCTTTAATCCAATATGGACGCCAAATGATGCAACTTTTGACAAACAGCTAAGAACAGGAAATGTTCAGCGTCTGATGCTGGTGCATTGTGGTCATTTGTAGCACTTTCTATCAAGAACTTTAGCAGCTACGTAGTTTGCAAAGTAAAAATATGAGAGGCTAGCAAAATCCAATATGGCCGCCACATCACGTGACTTTTGACATAAGAGCAAGAAGAGATCTTGTTCAGCAACCAAAGCAAGACTCAACAGAAGTTGTTTAAATGCCTTACCTGATAAGTTTCCAATGCCAGAGCTAGCTAAAGATGTCCTCTCAAAAGTTTAAAAATAACTTTGAGCCGGAAGTCGGAGTCAATATGGCGGCCATTGAAGACATATCTGAGGATTTTTTCTTTGAATTTGTTAGTATGGTACTTGGAGCCAAAGTCTGGAGAGTTTGGAAGCTTTTGAGCTGGTAGTTTGAGCTGAGCAGATTTTGGGAGTCAAGTACTGAGAAATCTGCTAAAAAACAGTGCAAAAACACTTAATCCGATCTGGAGGCCAAACGAAGCAATTTCGCTACATTGGATGTGTAGAGATTTTGTTTGGCATCTGATTCCGGATCTGTTCAGGAATTTTGGAAGTCTTTGGAGCTTTCGTGGCGGAGTTATGAGCTGTTGAAATTGCGATTTTTAAAGTTGTTTTGAGTTATCTGCCCTTAGTCTTTGAGTCTAGAGTCTTGAGATTTTTGTGGTATCTGCTTCAGGATCTAAGGTATCTTTGTGGAAATTTTGAAGACATTCTGAGCAGTAGTTTTGGAGTTAGGATTGGAACAAAAAACGCCGGAATAATAATAATAATAAAGAATAATAATAATAATAAATCGAACAATTACAATAGGGCTCTTGCCTTGTAGGCAGGGAGCCCTAATAAGAAATCGTTATTTTTGCGATTTTGGCACTTTTGACCCCGGGATCGGGTAGCTGGACTAAAACCATTTAAAAAAATTCAAGGTCACCAAGGTCACGGGGTCAAGGTCATTTAGGTGGTCCGTAAAACGAAAATGTACTTTTTTTGGCGAGCTCTCACGCGGCCGTTATTGCATGTATGGTGGAAGTGATTAGTAATTATGCATTACCCCGACCAGTTCTAGCATATGTATAGGTGAATTTTGATGATATGCATGTCCGCCGTCTGTCCGCGCGTCTGTCCACCAAAACTCTGTTTTGTCATTTTCTCACGAACTATCTAACTTACAAAGCTGAAACTTTGCAGACATCTTCCTATGGTCTGTATATAATAGTTCTGTGAATATCAATGCATTCCGTTGTCAAATTTGGTTTCCATGGCAACCTGACGACAAAAAACTTAAATCCAAGATGGCGGCCAAACGGCTGGAAATATCCATTTTTAGGCCTGGATCGAAAATGATCGCTATCTTATGACGGTGTCACATGCAAAATATGGAGGTTATTGGAGCAATTTTGGCGGAGATATATGCTGTTTTGTGCCGTTTTTATCACTTTTGGCATTTTCACGGTCTTTAATCCAATATGGACGCCAAATGATGCAACTTTTGACAAACAGCTAAGAACAGGAAATGTTCAGCGTCTGATGCTGGTGCATTGTGGTCATTTGTAGCACTTTCTATCAAGAACTTTAGCAGCTACGTAGTTTGCAAAGTAAAAATATGAGAGGCTAGCAAAATCCAATATGGCCGCCACATCACGTGACTTTTGACATAAGAGCAAGAAGAGATCTTGTTCAGCAACCAAAGCAAGACTCAACAGAAGTTGTTTAAATGCCTTACCTGATAAGTTTCCAATGCCAGAGCTAGCTAAAGATGTCCTCTCAAAAGTTTAAAAATAACTTTGAGCCGGAAGTCGGAGTCAATATGGCGGCCATTGAAGACATATCTGAGGATTTTTTCTTTGAATTTGTTAGTATGGTACTTGGAGCCAAAGTCTGGAGAGTTTGGAAGCTTTTGAGCTGGTAGTTTGAGCTGAGCAGATTTTGGGAGTCAAGTACTGAGAAATCTGCTAAAAAACAGTGCAAAAACACTTAATCCGATCTGGAGGCCAAACGAAGCAATTTCGCTACATTGGATGTGTAGAGATTTTGTTTGGCATCTGATTCCGGATCTGTTCAGGAATTTTGGAAGTCTTTGGAGCTTTCGTGGCGGAGTTATGAGCTGTTGAAATTGCGATTTTTAAAGTTGTTTTGAGTTATCTGCCCTTAGTCTTTGAGTCTAGAGTCTTGAGATTTTTGTGGTATCTGCTTCAGGATCTAAGGTATCTTTGTGGAAATTTTGAAGACATTCTGAGCAGTAGTTTTGGAGTTAGGATTGGAACAAAAAACGCCGGAATAATAATAATAATAAAGAATAATAATAATAATAAATCGAACAATTACAATAGGGCTCTTGCCTTGTAGGCAGGGAGCCCTAATAATCCTTATGTTGACCAGATGTGCAATTAGGATCCAAGATTTTGAAAAAATTGGGTGCATGCTACACCCAAGTCATGAAGTGAACAAAGCTGGTTATAGGCCGACATGTGAGGTGTCTGAAATCAGTCGGTTATAAAATACTATCAAAAACACATCTTATGGGACTGTATAACTGTGCAATAAATGCTAATCATTAAAAGACCATGTTACACATTGACAGGACTGTGATACATCTAGACTTGATCAGAGGCCGATATTTAACCAAGTCTGCAACAAATGTCAGTAAAAATCCCCAATTGGAAATACACATTTTTCAACTCATAATATTCAACAATGTTATCATGGATATGACATTGAAGAGAGGACTTGTTTACTGTCAAAAGAACCAGTGATGTAGATGCTTTTTAACTTACTTTCATGTCATTGAATTGAATGCCATATTAAAACACAGTTTCAGAAGATATGATTTAAAAAAAAATATAAATTTGAACACAATAACGATTTCCCACCAATTTGCCTACCAAGGGCACTTAGTTTGCAAACCTAAATAAATCCCTGAAGTACTCAAGACATGGCTGAGAGAGAGAGAGAGTTGACAGCAGTAAACATGGTAAAGAATGAAAATCAAGGCACTGGCACATGACATCACATGAAATGAGTGAGTGAGTGAGTGAGACAGAGTGAATCGTTGAGTGAGGAGGTGATTGAGTTTGGTTTTACGCCGCTTTTAGCAATATTCCAGAAATAGCACGGTGAGCTTCACACATTGTACCCACATATCACATACAACATACAAGGTGCAAGATTTGTTTTTTGACAATATTTCACCTGAGTCCTATCACAGCAAAGCACAATATAGTTTCCTCATAATCTCAGATGGGAACTGATTATTAATTCACGGACCTGTATACAATTACAATACTTTGTGATCATAAAACATCTAAATATAAGCAAGTGAGTGAAAGAAATATTTCCATATTAAGATTTATAAAAACATAGGCCATGATATGAATGAATGTTGCTTTACGCCTAGGCCATGGAACGTTGAAGAGACGATGCTAATCTCATTATACACCTGTGGTTATGTTCCAATCAAATGGGGCAGAAATGTGTGGACATGGTGGACTGTGTGATAAACATCTTGACCTGTACACTTTGCTTGGCACTAAACGTGTAAAAAACATAATCAAAAAGTTGTATACACCGTACATGTTATATACAGCTACAGTATTAACCAATTAGGATCTGATAGTGTTGTCGCTATCAACTGCACAGACACTAGTTCTTGTGATTGTGAAAACCATTCTCACTCTTTGCAGCATTTGACAATAGCACCAGTTTCCATCTTCTGTCCAATGCCGTGTACAACGAAGACTAGGTGAGCTATATCTGGCGGCTTGTCCTCCATCATGGCTTCGTAACGGTAGCCTCTGTGCAACTGGCTTCCAGCTGAAAGAAATGAATGTGGACATTTAATAGTCTAGCTGTAGCTTAGCAGGCTGATCAAAATAGAATGTGTGTTACAATAAGGCAGTTCCTTCAAATTATTAATGTCTAATATATTCTAAAATTTATATTACTTATCCTCCATTACATATTACATTCCCTTCTATATCCTGCAAAAACACATCTTCCCGAGTCAAGAGAGTTAACTGACTTTAAAAGTCCAGTTTCCACCCTTGCCGAACTAGGCTGGAATTCCTGGGATTGATTGTAGCGCCACCAGTGGCTGTTACGAGTTATGCCCCTTCTATGCCTCTCCTATGAACCAATCAGATTCCACCTCTCGTATTACTTGCATTTGTTTCAAACAAAAAGGCAGCGTCAAGACAAGACGATCTGATCGACAATCAAGATCAATATTGTGATAAAACGGGTCTTACATCGCGAAGTGCATCAAATCATGTGAGCACCTTGATTAAAAACTTGAAAAGATTTTGAAAAATATCTGTTGACAACGAGCTGGCGGTGCACATGCTTTGTAAATCCTGCAATCAATTGAAATCTCCATGACAGTTTACGAACCAGATTTCGATTTTGGTTTGCGCTTTTTAATCGGACTAAGCATGGACTCGTTAGTCCAGACAAAATGTAACTCCATAATACCAGCCTAGTTCGGCAAGGGTGGAAACTTTTATAGTAGGTTAACTCCCTCGGGAAGATGGCAAAAACATGACTGATAATGTCATCCCTTGAGAAAAACTTGTTCCTGAACAAAGTTGAAACCGCCTGCCGGAATACAGTCTGCCCTCAGCATCCAGCTATCACACACGTAACTCTTCCGTTGTGGGGGATAAGTTAAAAAATCTAAGAACTAAGAAATCAAGTTATACACGTAAGGAAGAGAATTTATGGATGTCAACTTCTTTGTTATGGGGAACACAATGTTTCGGAGTACAGTAGAACACGGATATAGCGAAAAAACGGATACAACGAACTGTTAAACAATCCCCGATTTATCTCCCATATAATATCATATAAAATTTACGTATATAACCAACTCTCTATAGCAAACTAATGGATACAGCGAACTGATATCTGATCACCGACAAGCCCATCTACCACCAACTAGTGATGTGTATAGCGAACTAAGAAATCTCACTCAGTGTCAATTGTCACTAACAATTGGCTGTAGCGGTGAATCAACACAATCGTGGTGAATCAACACAATCGTGGTGAATCAACACAATCAGTGGTGACGGATCAACCTTGTTCAACTTAAATGAATGTTATGAATGTTATGAATGTTATGAACTGTTATGAACTGTTATCAATTGAATGCTATGAAGTGACCACTGCTAATACAAGTCAATGCTGCAATTACGTGTCTTTTGTGTGTTTTGTTTTATCCAAGATGGCGGACGTTTCCGAGCGAAAACGTATATAACGAACAACGGATATAACGAACGATTTTTCTAGTCCCTTGTAGTTCGTTATATCTGTTTTTACTGTATATACTTACTCTTTCAACAGGTGAAATCAATGCTTACATTTTTGCCAGCCAAGAGACTTGGTTACTTGTCTCATGAGTTTGGAGGAAGCAGATTCACTGAACAGATAGATCTCATTCGGAGCATTCCAGTCCACGTGAAAGTCTTGGAACTTCAAATTATGAATAACTGAAAGGAAATGAAAAAGTAAAAAATAAGTGGAATGACAAAAAAGTGAAGGAAATTTTGAAGATGTTTAGTTGTCATGGCGATGGTGTAGTAAAGACCGTTTTGATTGATACAAAGTGTTTGTGGAGTTTGAGTCAATCGGAGTTGTCAACAAGTGAGTATAATGCTTGGTGGAGATACAACACTAATAAAGAGTAACTTATAGGTGAAATATTTCACAAGTCAGTGACTTATATCATGTAATACAGCGAGTGAACTATTCAAAAGAAGTTAAAGAACACCTGATTCTTTTATGTTGCCATAGTCATGCCATGGTGTTCATTAACTTCTTTTGAGTAGTATATGTATATATACTGTAAATCGTGAAATAACTGCGTCTCCAAAAGAATCCGACCTCTGGCCACTAGCCAAAAATGCGACTCAATTTGAATGCGACACCCCCTCCTCTCAAACATCAGTGGATTATTAGCTCAAGAAAATGTCCTCTGTCAGGTTTACAGAAGAACATTAATCCAACCTTACATTAATCCAATCACACAACAAATAGCATCGCTTATTAGCACTGAGCAGAGTACTTCCGCTAAAACAATACATGTGTGCTGGCTTGTGTCGGCCTTTGACGCAGTCGCAAAGAACAAAGGTGCTGTGTTACGTGGGTGGCTTCTGTCTGGACTTGCAGGTGTGATCAGTGATGACAGAAGTGAGTAGAACCCCAGCAGTGACAATTCACAGGTTGTAATTAGTGTTTGAATGTCATTGTTTATATACTTGTTACAAGTGCTGCTCAATAAACAGTGATGTGGAATAGATAGTTGTTTGTTTTCAGCGTAGTCTAAGTTGGTATTTCTGCTATCCAAAATGTCTTATTGTTGATATAAATGAGATGTTTAATAATGCGAGCAAAGACCACTCGCATTTTTTGCATTTATTTCACGCTCGCGTCAATTTCAAGATTTACAGTATTCAGTCAGGAAACATTCTTCATGTTTTAAATGCCTAATACACAGCTAGACATGCTAAGAAGTTTGCAAGAAATACAATTATAAGCTGTTCATGATTTTTTTTGTTCATTATTTTTGCCACATTCAGCAAAACTACAGCCATATCATGGGTGTCTACTCATGGGTGAGGTGAGGTGAGGTGAGGTGAGGTGAGGTGAGGTGAAATGAGTTTAATGTTGCATACAAGATTGAACTTGCATGCACGTGTGTGTGTGTGTGTGGCTGCTTGTACAAGTCCTGACTGATGCTGATTTTATAGTTCTAGCCCACTGAGTGAGTTCATTCATAAGTTAAAATTTATTGTTGCGTCCGTAAAATTAAACTCATCAATTTACTCACTCAGTGGGCTAGCACTACAAAATCAGCATTAGTCCGGATAAGTACTGAGGTACCATGCCACAGTTTTAATATGAATACCCCACTCAAAACAGTCTACTGACTACAAGCCAACAAGTTCTTGCTTTAGCCCCTTAATGCCGAGCACCAGGCAGGGTAACAACAAGTACCATCTTTAACGTCTCTAGTGATTGAGCATGAGCCAGGAAAACCAGAGGTTGATATCAGGAGCAATATTCCACACGCTTGGGTTACGTTGACACAATTCTAAACAATGTCACCATGGGGACAATAACTTGAGATAGTTAACTCTCAAAGAATGTGTGAGTATAAGCATGGTGACTATGGTGTAATGCTGTTTATCAAAATATTCGAGCATGATCACATGGAGGTCAAAGAAAATAGGCTCCACACTTCATTATATGGGAATCTGGGTCTTGGCCAATGAGAGGTTGCCAAACATACTAAATGTCCCTGAATGGGAAACATAAAGATTTCAAACTGGTTCAGTTTCTAGGCAATGAGAGCCAACAGGTTGCTAAACATACTAAATGTCCCTGAATGGTTTGAAACTGGTTCAGTTTCTGGGCAATTGACCTATTGTCATCCAAAATGTCATAAAGATTATTTTTTCAAATTTGGTAATGATAAAGAAGAATGTCCTTATAAAAGATAAAAATCTTGAAAATGCCTCAACGACAATTGTCCCCCGAAAAAGCACTGTACAGCCATGTCACCTGGTCTCGGTCCCTTTTGTGGCACAGCGGGTACCTCGTCCAACCTCCGGTTGGCAAAGTTGGCCATGTGCTCTGTCTCTATCTGCAGTGCATACACCTCCTCCATAGGCTGCCAGGAGCCATCATAGTACCAGGTTCCCCTCATGATTTCAGAAACGTCACCTGACAAGAAGAATCAATGTCATTCAGAGTTGCAAAGTGTGTGTTTGTTTAATGCTGTACTCAGCAATATTACAGCTATATAATATCAGTCTGTAAACAATTGTAAACCAAGTTATTAGCATCATTCTTATTTCTTTTAGGGAGGTAGCATTTGAGCTGAGCAAGTTGTTGATCGATGTTACAGCTGTATCATAACAGTCTGTGCAAAATGCCGAGCCTGGACCAGACACAATCCAGTGATTGATGACATCCTGAGAAAAAGACCCCTGCAATGTAGCATGCCAGGCGACACATTGTAACCACCCATTCTTAATCTGAGTATCATTGTGCTGAATCTAGGCGTAGATTTAACAACAAATTTAAATGTAGCCATCAGGGCTAACTCCTCTTAAAAGCCAGTGACACTTCTCCAAACTAACTGGTCCACAACCAAATGATGAAGGCTTCCATTTGCCTCATTTTGCGGCAATTTATTAGTTGTCATTCTCCCAAAATGATGAACATATATCTTTCTTTGAGTTAACCAATCCAACATCATCTCCCGAAGCTTTTCTCATCGAAATTAGATGATTCACAATTTTCATACACAGAGAGGGGAAACATTTTGATCAGACAGACCATCTACTTTACGTTTCAGCCAACACTTCGTAATATTAACTGTCACAAGCCAACAGTTACATCGACGCCTGTCAGAGCATATTTCCATTCACCAATGGGATGAAGCACAATTTATCCTTTTGTACCCTAGTTATACTGCTTCTGCACTGTGCAGGACATTTGTTTGCTGTTTAAAGCCGTACTCAGCAATATTCCAGATATATGACAGCATGTTGTGTTGCACAGGGTGCAGGCTAAATTGGCACCTCAGCAAAACTCCACCGATTTCTCTGTCGAAAACGGCACGGCATTTGGCAAAACCGGCACCTCTATTTTTTAGAACATTAAGAATGATTTATGTAGTAGTATATATGATTTATTTATATGTCATTTGATGTATTTACATTGTAAGATGAGTAGAGGCTAATTTCTAATGTAAACTTGTTGTAACATTTCACAATTATTGGTGTTTGCAAGTAACCGTGTAAGTTTAATTTCATTTATTTTACCAAAATAAAAAAAATAAGGCACCGTTTTCATAAATAAGGCAATAGGAGCCGTTTTCGCCAGGTGCCGTTTTGCTGAGGTGCCGTTTTAGCTATAGTGAGTGAGTTGGGTTTAACGCTGCTTTTAACCTTATTCCAGTTATATCACAGCGTGTCAGCTTTTTGTGGGAGAAAAGCCCGAAGTGATGCAAGTCTCAGACGTTTACCACTTCGGTGAAAACCAATAGCACGGGTATGGTGCTGACAAACCTAGAAACATAATTGGGGAGAACAGGGATTCGAACCCACAATCATAGGTTTCTTGCGTGCCCAAGGGACGCAACTCTGCACAGCGAATTACAAACATAACTATCACAAAAGCATGTTATCAAGATTTTAACCATGCCATAAATAAAACACAACAGGTTAATTGTTTTGAAGTATGCATACCTGTCCAGTAAATCGGATGGCATTTCTTGTTCTCAACTTCAACATCATACAGCCCTCCTCTCACAAGGATTCTCTCATTAACATCAATATCACCATCAGAATCACAAGCAAGCGCTCTGTAGCGACACTCGATTCTCAGCGAGTCGTACCCAATAAATGCCCTCCATCTCTTTTCACCCTCATTCTTGTAGAACCATCTAATCTCTTCAGGACGGAGTTCGTCTACAAATTCTTTTTGGGGAAATAAATACTTTTTATGACTAGGTGAATCGGTGAATGGGGATCGCGTTCCACTACTGTCTAGGTCAAAGTCTTCATCGTCTGACAAATTTGAGCGTTCTTGCAAAAATGAATCGAGCGAATACATCCTCTCTGTCATTGACGAGGAAGCAGCGCTCGAGGAAGAACTTCCTCGTGGCGTCTTTATAGTAAAATCTGCAGGCGAGGGGAACTCCATTGATACTCATTTCACGGACAACATATCTGACTAAGCAATAACGCCGTTTGCGTTAAGTTACTTTAACACATCATCGTAAATGGACACTAAATCGATGTCATTAGCCATGGTTTACAGCTGTTCTTTGACCTGGCAGGTGACAGCTGAAAGTAAAGCTATCAAAGCTACCGCATTTCGTAGCCACGCCAACAGATACATAAATTGACTTCATTTGGCTTCAACTTGTATATTTCATCTTGTTTTATTACAGAATATGCAATTATTAAACTGATGTTATATGTGCGAGGGACATTTGTCATAGCTCAAATGTATGTTTTACTAAAACGTGGCTGGTATGGTGCATGTTTAGAGTTGCCTCCCATTCCGTAGCTCCTTCCCAGCGCGTGACACCTTCGTTATACCGCATAGATAGCTTCGCGAACGGGCTATCGCTGTGAGGAGCCTGTTGCTTCAATCACAGTAAAATCGTCCAGCTTGTTTTCTCATGCAACATGTTATTGGGTTGTATCATGTGAACATAGAGGGTCACACACTGTAAGCTGACAGCGGAACCCGAGGTATGTCCTACAATTTTCATAATGTATCTACATTTATATCATAAGGGCGGATCCAGGGGTGGGCTATTATGGGCAAGTGTCTTTAGCTCACCTGAACATCATCGCCTGAAATGTCCGACCACTTATAACGTTCATGTTCTCCACAATTCTGTAACAATAACTTGGTTTATGCATACACCTCCGAAAGTCAATTCACATTTCTCTCAAACAAAAAAAATTCTCAGAGTCTTATCCAAATAATCGTTCTTATTTTCTATCATAGGGTAGCCTTCTTCATTTCTGCTAAGCATACTCAGCTACAGTAAATCCAGTACACTGGCCACATTCATCACAGGATACATCGTATTAGTACTTGCATTAGTAGTCATTTTCACTTTGTTGATGTGTTGTTTTTTGCTCGGTGACATTTTGCGGAAGTGGTGTTTTAGTTATATTCGTTTTCTTGAGGTGAAACAAATTCATAAATGGTATGAAGTTAATTGCTCACAAGCACAAGTACAACCTGTGTCACTTTAAGCTCTATCCTAGATTATCCTGACTAAGCTGACATGATCCATCGGACAGAGCATCTGCTCAGAGAGGGGAAGGTCAATGGAAGGTCCCTGACTGTACCAGAATCCGTTAAAAGATGCTACTTCCTGTTACCCTACAGTTGTATAAGGTGCCACAATTCGATGTGTGTATGATCATGGGTCTGAATTCCGGTTCACCCCAATTATCAATTTTGATCATGTTTCTAGGTCTGTCGCCACCATACCCGTGAGTTTCACCAAAGAGGTAAATGTCTGAGACCTGCATCACTTCTGGCTTTGCTCCCAAATTATGCTGACATGCTGTGATGTAACTGAATTACTGTTCAAAGCAGCGTTAAACCCAGCTCATACACTCATATGCGCAGTATCAGTTGATCAGAGTGCTAATTATTTCATTGATATTTCTGTTGCAGCTGTGAATTGCTCTTGACATCAAGAAAGTGATTAAGGTGACAGCAATTCCAAATTCATCATGTGGCCCATCGTGATGGGATTTATGCGGACATATGCTGTGTACATCACATGGCCAGTCGCTGCTGTCATCGGTTATGTCGGATATAACCTGGAAGGTTATGTGAGAGGGGACAAACAGACCCCTTGGAAAGAAAAGGGCATTAAGGAAGAGAGAATTGAAAGAATCATCAGAGAAGACATTGGCAAAGATGCAGCTGATGTTGACTCACTAAAATCAAAAAAGGATATTCCACAGACTGTACTGAACAGAAACAATCGATTATGAATAATGTGTGTGATTGTGAATGTGTGTGATTATGAATGATCATAGTATTTAACATGTGCAACACAGTAGCTTATTATACAGAGTGAATTTATGTGTAAATATAGTTGCTATTTCCAGTGCATGTTCTTGATGTAGATACAGATACTTCTATGTATTCCTTTGGCGATCCTTGGTCAGACGAGGTCCTCACTACCTAATGCCTATTGTAAACAGTGGTGAAATGCTAAGAGTTGACTTGAACGGTAAACAGTGGTCAAGCTGTGTGATTTGACTGATTGTGTGTCATTCTTCCATGACCACAGTGAAATTGAACAATGATTGATACTGATTGGTCAAAATGAAATTAAAAATCATAAGCTTTAAACACATGTTAAATCAGGTATCTAATTCCATTTGATACCTCAAAATATTCATGCCTTTCACATGAGTGCTCGTTTCCAAATTAAAATAAGAAGTATCTAATATACAGTTAGACTACCTCAAATTTCAAAATACAATAGATATATCTACTAAATATGCTCAGTCAGTATGGGACTTAAATCATGCTTCCAATAAATGGATTGCCGGGCCCAGTCATGATATTTTACTGGCTGTGGTATTGTTGGTGGAACATTGTTGACTGTGGCATTAAGCAACAATAAAACGTACTATGTTTTGTACGTACTTAGTCATATCAGGGATGATGAGGGTGATGTCACGACTGTAGAAGACCAAAGATGTAGTAGTTCCATGAAGGCCGGGAAAAAAGGAACATGGCAAGAACAACCTGCTTAATCATGATGATTGTGAAGGAAAATATAAGCACTTTCCCATGTTCCCCAATAGAAAAAAATAATGTTATGGAGCATTTGCCAATGTGTTGTTGTTTGGGTAAGTGCTGCGAAAATGAAGCTGTTTTTCCTGCTACCCTCTTAAGATGTATTATTTTGTTAAATGGAGCACACCAGTGACACCACAGTACCTGATTTATGTCCATGGTTAAAAAAAATATGAAAAAAATATTCTGTGTTCAATGAGCATATTGAGGCTGTGGAATGGAAAAAAAAGGAATGTTTCTTTTTATGTTCTAATTACACCCACAGGTAGACATGGTCTTTTTCGATTTCCATTCATCAGGACGAAAAACATGATGAACTTTTCTTTTCAAATTCAACCTATGTAACAATGGACTTACAGGATATACATTGATTACTACTTGGAGATGCCTTTCAGGAATAAACCAATTGGCCTAACTGACCGTGCTTTCAGTGACTTGTGTGATATTTGTTGAATGTTTGTTTGTTTAACGCCACACTCAGAAATATTCCAACTATATGACAGCGGTCTGTAAATAATCGAGTCTGGACCAGACAATCCATTGATTGACATCATGAGCATTGATCCACGCAATTGGGATACAATGACATGCATCAACCAAGTCAGCGAGCCTGCACACCTTAAAATGTCAAGGTTCAGTTCAGCAATCCATGCTTGTCATTATAGGTGACTAACAGGATCAGGTGGTCACTGCATGTCCTGGTTGATGCATGTCATCGGATCCCAGTTGCATAGATTGATGCTCATGATGTCAGTCACTGCATTGTCTGGCCCAGACTTGATATTGCCAGACTGCCGTCATACAGCTGGAATATTGCTCGATCGCACCACCAGTGGCTATTACAAGTTATGTCTCTCCTACTTGCTTTTGCTTCTAACAGTTTTACCAACCGGATGTCAATTTCATTTCGCGGTTTTGATTGGACTATGCATAGACTCATTAGTCCAGTCAAAACATAACTCCATAATTGTAGCCTAGTTCAGCAAGACTGGAAACTTGACTTTTACAGCCAGTTAACTCCCTTGCCCCCAGAAGATGAATTGTGAATTGCTGTAGAAGTATTGTGGTCTTACACTTGTGTCATAGGTGCATTGTCCTGGAGAGACAACACACCTTTGGTATGTCTAGCCTTGATATTCTGATGCAGTTGTCTATGCAGAGTGGCGTTATGTTGGTCATTAATTGTCAGACCTCTCGGGAGGTAGTCCACCAGTATGCTTTCTGTGGAATCTCAGAAATCTGAAGACATCACCTTGGCAGGTAATGGAACTTGGCCTTCTTCAGATGTTATGCGTTGCCCCTGCTTGTTTAGTCTCTGGCTGCTTCAAAACAACGTACATTCTCACAAGAGATGATGACCCCGGAGCTTTTCTGATCAGGAATCAGAAGCCATGGAACCCACCTAACTGAAACCTTTGTCATGCTCAGTTTATTCTGAAGAATGTTCTTATTATACTCAAACATGAGAGTGTCTGCTGTATGGGCTATGGTGAACACTTTTGCTCTTTTGGAGACTACTGCCCATCTCGTAACAATGAAAAGGAAGCTGCGTTATCCCCAAGCCAGTTTGTCCATTTGCATCAACAGAGACTACCCAGTCACTTTGATACCTGCAAAAAATATATTGCCTGGTTGTAGGGCTGGGACGGGTAACTTGAGTACTCGGGTCGGATGGGTCCTGAGTATGACCCAGGTACCCACAGGACTACCCAGACCCGTGGTAAGTCTCGTGATATATTGTTTAATGACACAAATTGTCTAAAACTATGGTTACGCTATAAATCAATAATGTTCCCATTTCTCTCTGATAATGCACCCATTCCTTCTGACTTTTATATGTTTGAATAAAGATAAAACTTCATGCAGTAAACTTCAGTGTATGCATGACTGGATCGTTATACACGTGTTTCTAACCACATTTTGCCAGGGCTACGGTCAAACTTTTCCAAATCGAACAGTTTGTACCTATATCTTAATATCTTCAGCCTGTACCTGGGTAGGGTCGGGTGATAGGGTGTTGGGTACCCGGGAAGTAAATTTGGACTCGTCCCAGCCCTACCTGGTTGTGTATAGAGTTCAGCTGTAGCCTGCTACCATGGAAAGAGTTGTACGTTATATGCGTTATATGTACAAACTGTTAAAGGTGTACAATAGATCCGTCATAGTTAGGCTCTGAACCTTTCAGCCACCCCTTGTATAAGTCGACATGTGGTTTGTTTGTTTGCCGTTTATCATCACACCCAGTAATATTTCAGCAACATGACTGCAGCCTTTAAATAATGGAGGATGTCCCAGACAAACTAGTGGTTAATATTATGAACAACCAACACCCTCGGGTCCAATTACACAAATGTCACCCCCCGAGCCATTTCGTCATCTCGTACAACTATCATAGTTCGCTTGGGATCCCTACGAGGTGTTGTATATGATTCTTAATCCAAAGGTCGGTTGAATTGACAACATGATGTTAAAATGAGGCGAAAAAATTATTTTGTTAACACGATAAGGAGTATGAAAACAATTTGTTAAGGTGCAATAAAATTAATGTAGATCCCTTTCAGTGTTAGGACAGTGTAAGTAATACACGACGACAGTGGGAACTGTGAGAAATAGATTCTAATGAAAAGGACAAAATATGACGGTTGAAACTATATACCTTTAAGTGAGTCCCT